GTTGAGGAGTTTTATCTTTTATCTGTCGCGAAGCTGTGAGCTGAATCTCATCCTGTCATCTCTAAACATCGCGTCACGCGCTTCCTGTGGACGGCGAGTATCAGGGCATCAGCTGAGGAAGACACCTCAGTGAACAGAGACAGATGATGGTGTGATTTAACACCTGCAAACCACAGACAACTGCAGCTGAACCGAGACACTGATGCGACACAGCGAAGAAGTCAAATCTTATCAGTATCCTTGTTTCTGGATGTTGTAGATTCATGTCAGTGTCACAGAATATTAGAAACCGATATTAAAACTGTCAAATATGTGAATAAAACTGAAGAGACAAAGAGGACAGACTCCAGAGACTCCAAGTACTCAAGCTGAATATGAATATAAAATACATTAAAGCTCCTCCAGTGTAAAGGTCTGTGTCCATGTGTAGTGTGATTATAGATCAGCTCTAGCTTCTATATTAATACTGTGAAAGTATCAAAGCCTCAGTCCACAGAGAAATGCACACAGCCTGTATTCAGAAACTGAGCCTTAAAACCAGCCGTCAGGACTTCTGGAACTTTGTGATGTCACAACAAAGCAGTCCCCAAGCCCCGCCCACCTGGACCCACCATCCAAACCTTGCAGGATTTGGTTTCTCTAAGGGTTTTTACCTGAAATCTGCTTTATTTTTATTGGATCACTCAGAAAACAGTCAGCCAATCAGAAGAGAGGCTCAGAGCCTCCTCTCTTCTGATTGGCTCACTGACCTGTTGTTACTAGAGCTCCAGAGAGAAGCCTGAGAGAGGAGATGTAAAACTACACTGAGATGAACTGATGGAGCCGCTTGGATAAGAGGCGAAACGTCTTCCACAGACAAATACAAGTCCAGTTGCCTTCGATTCAATTTGAGAGAGAGATAACTATGACCTGGACGAATGAGAACATTCACAGACAGATACACTGATGTGGTTTTTGGTTCTTAAAACCACAAAAATATCTTCTTATGGATCAACACTTCAAAATAAAACACAGAAGAAAAATTGCTGGATAATAAAATTCCTGCGTCCTGCCAGCAGAGCTTTTGTTCTTGTGTTTAACGCCCAGAGACAGAGAGGAGCGTAAACACAAAGACGCCTAATAAGAGACAAAGTGACGCTCTCAGACAAACTGTGTACAGATCTAACACGCTGCCTGAACCTCCGCTGGGAGTTTGTGACTCAATATGGAGCTGATGTGGAACTCAGCGCTCAACATCCCATCATCATCATCATCATCATCATCAATATCACAGAGACGAGAAGAGACCGGTCCAGCCTGATACACACTTTCTAAATATGTTTAATATTTATTCTTCAATTCTTCATCAATCCTGTGTTGAAACGCAGGGAGTGTGTGTGTGTGTGTGTGTGTGTGTGTGTGTGTGTGTGTGTGTGTGTGTGTGTGTGGGGGGGGTCTGTGGTCACAGCCACAACGTTGGCGACCCTGCTCTGATTCACCGAGAGGAGCAGGAAACACCAGCTGCTCGGTGCTGCAGAAATCTGCTTTTTTTTCATGGCTCTGTTTTTGTTCAGCGTTAAAACTGAACTTGTGTGTGATTTTGCCCCTTCATGCAAATTTAAAATTGCTCCAGTAGAAAAAATAAATGAATCGACAGGAAACAGTTTAAATCCAGACGAATGTTTCAGGAACTAGAATTTTTAGATTTTATCAATAATGTTAAATCACACATTTATAAAGAGACAATATCAATTTTCTTGTTCACATGACTGTCTCAACTGAATAAAAACAGAGTTGCAACACGTTGGTCACGACGAGTGGAGGGTTAAAGAGATTTGTGTGTGTGTGTGTGTGTGTGTGTGTGTTGCTGTTCTCACTTTCTACTCTGACACTTGATTTTTGTGGAACTGTTCTGTTGTGAGAGCACAAAACCAGCACCTCGCCAGGCCACACCCAACCGGTCTGTTCACACCTCCTCTAACACCGCTGTACCACACGCACAGCGCCGGACACACGAGGACAAAGTATTTTGAGGACAGGAAATGTGTTTCAGTTTCCTGTGTGAAAATATCACTGTGCTTTCATCCGTCCCTGTTGATGTTAACGACTGTTTTACCTGCTGCTGCTGAACTATGTTACAGACAAACCTTTATTCTGCTCCTTTATCAATAAAGTAGAACAGACAGATTCTGGTGTGCTTCATTGTGTGTGTGTGTGTGTGTGTGTGTGTGTGTGTGTGTGTGTGTGTGTGTGTGTGTGTGTGTCACTTACATCGAGCAGTGTGTGTAGATGTTGGTCCTGGAAAACGCTGTGGAGGAAATCTAGATCCTTTTCACTGCAGTCTGTCAGCGCGTGGATCTCCTCTAAACTGTCCAGCACCTGAGACACAGCCCCTGTCACACACACACACACACACACACACACACACACACACACACACACACACACACACACACACACACACACACACACACATATTTCTTTACCTCTGGCTGGGACATTTTCTGCACGTCCTACGACTGATGAACATTAAGGTCAAGCTTCTACAAATATCAAGACAGCTATTGATGGTTAACATGCATCACAACACACACGCACACGCACACACACATACACAGGACCAACAGATACCTACGTTCTGCTGCTAGTAGTCCTAACAGGTGGGCAGCATTAATAAAAACACACAGACACTCAGTGTAAAGCAACAACAGGTAGAAACAACAGGAGAGATATTGTTGGATTGTAATGAGAAGAAAACAAGGTTGTTTTTATTGTTTTATAATGAGCTTAGACGATCAGCTGATTCCTGGCTGTGTAGTGTGTGTGTGTGTGTGTGTGTGTGTGTGTAGTCTGTTTTTGATGAACTTGTTGGAGTGTTGTTGTCGTGGCGACACCAGCCTGTGCGTTGCCATGCACAGAAAGCAGAAGTCGAATTAATAGAGCAACTGGAGAGAAACACCAGAGGAAGGAAATCTGAGGGAGGAAGTGTGTTAAAGATCGGGGGGGTTTGTGTGTGTGTGTGTGTGTTTGTGTGTGTGTACCTGAGGAGGTGGGGTCGTTGGAGAAGTCGTGGAGCTCCTCGGGGGGGTCTCCATAGAAGGAGTTAAACTTGTGACTGGACACTGCAGCCAGCACGGCACCCTGTTACACAACAACAACAACAACAACAACAACGACAGGGACGGGTCAACATCAGCAGCATCTATTTATCTCATCATCTCAACACACAGAGATGGCGTTATGCCTGATGTCACAACATTTGATTGTGTATGTGCGTGTGCGTGTGTGTGTGTGTGTGTGCGCGCGCGCGCATGCAAACCTTCAGCTTCCTCCTGGCGTTGAACTTTCTCAGCTGCTCCACGGTCTCTGGCAGGTGGATTTTGTAGGCGTAGCGGTCCCTCTCCTGACAGATCCAACACAGAGAGGAAAAGCTTAAAGAGACATTACAGCAGTTTAACACCTGGAGATCAGCTGATTCGTCACGAGGAGCCAGTGAAAACAGTCTTAATGTCTTCTGAGGCTCTTTGGTTTGTGAGGTCTGACAAGTCTACTGCTGCGGTCCCGTCATGTGGGAGGGAGGGGAATGACGGGAAAGACTCAAGGTGGCAGCTGGAGTTTTCTGATAGTTTGAGTTGTTGCCTGAACAAGCATGAAACCAGTCTGATAAACTGGTGAATGAGACCACAGATCTGTCCCAGTTCAATACAGCGACACATCAGTGGTACACTGGGAGTTTACATCAGCAACATGAACTTTATTCTGATGTGAACAGTAAAGGACAATAACCAGCTGCTGGAAACTAAAAAACTACACTGAGATGGTTTTTATATCTTCTTATGGATAAAACACAGAAGAAGAAAACATGGAGCTTTAATATCTTTTACTCATTGAGAGACTAAATTTAGAGGCAAAATCATCACGTTCAGGTGATTTATCTGCTGCTGCACTGTACTGCTGCTGCTGTTGTTGTTGTTGTTGTTGTCAGTGTCAGGAAGCTGCTGTGGGAGATTCGCCACAGCCACAGATTGATAAGTTACATATGTGGTTGTAAACAGAGCACTGAGGTTGATGTGGCAGAGAAAGACTCTGGTGTTGACTAAATATATTCAAAGAAGAACGAGGAATTGAGACTCATGTCCTGTGCATGAGCACATGGGTTTGTATGATATTGTAGTAAGTGTAAAGCTGCAGTAACAGTTTGTCAGTCGGTACCTTGAGCCAGGGGTGGTTCAGAGCCTCGTAGACGGTGATCCTCTCAGCCGGGTCCAGCATCAGCATGCGCCTCACCAGGTCCTTGGCGCTCTCCGAGATGTGGCTCCACTGGCGCGGGTTCATCTGTGCGCACACACACACACGAAGAAAACACACACTTTACAGGAATGCACCGACTTCCTGGTCCTGTTCCTTTGGCCCAAACACAAGCACCAAACTCTGATCGTCACCTGGCTCCTGCTGGAATCGAACTAAGTACAAATTTGAAGAACTTGTTCTTTACTTGAGTAAATCCATCTTATGGTACTTTATACTTTTACTCCATTACATTTACCTGACATGTATTTGTATTAGTAGCTTTATAAGGGAAGATTAAACTTCCCACAAGTGAATACAAGCAGAGATGAAGCAATCGATTGATAAAAAAAAAAATCAATTAGTGGCCACTCGTGTCTTGAATGAAATGATGAAACCACGTATTCGTGTCGGTGCAGCTCCTCTGAATGACCTCCTGACCTTGTATTTGCCCTTGCAGATGGCTTCAAACAGCCGCTCCTTGGTGCCGTAGAAAGGCAGACACCCTGAGAGGAGGATGAAGAGGATGACGCCGCAGCCCCACACGTCCACAGGCTTTCCATACGGCTCCCTCTTCACCACCTCCGGGGCCATGAAGTGGGGAGTACCGACCCGACCTGAGGTCACAGAGACAGAACACAAACATCATTTACTTTAATGAGGACTTCTTTATTCTTAATACATTTCTATTCTTACCCTCTGTGGACTACAAAACGGAAGTTCTGTCAGACTTTACTTCCTCCTCTGAGACCTGCAACAATGAGCTGTCAGCTTTTTGTTTCCTGCTCTGTCTATATGGTGTCAAAGTGTCAATTAAATCTACGGCAGGTTTGTTTCCTTTTTCTCAATAAAAGCTGAAGAACTGGACACTTCGCGTTTTCCAGTCATTAATGTGCAAAGTGAACTGGAGCTCTGCCTCTGCCGGTAACAGAGCTGAGTTTGGATCCTTTAGTTTCACTGCTCTCCACAGGATCGACTCTCCTCAACCTGCAGGATGTGCACATTAAAGTCACAGAGATTAGAATGATTTTGACTAAGAAATCAGTTTATATATGTGACTCTGAGTCACTGTATGGATAACAAACAGAGTGCTGAGGGTGCAGGTCATCTGTCCTCACCACAGGTTAGTGTAGTTAGCATCTTTAGGAACCATTAGCGTAGTTAGCATCTTTTATTTGTTTATGTTGTGCGTTAGCTTGTAAACTGCATGGCTGACACAGCGTTAGAATTGTGGTAATGCTAACTCCTCACTCTCTGGACACTGACAACTGTTCAGTTTACCCCCCCCCCCCCCCCCCCCCCCCCCCCGGTTCATTAGATTCAGGGTTTCATACGTCACAAACCTGTTTTTATGAGACTGTCACTCACTGAAGGTCAAAGTTCAACTTTAATGTCGTGATGCTGAGATGGGAGTGTTAGCATCAGTGCGTATGTATGTATGTATGTGGTGTTTACTTTACCTCCTGCCACCAGTCCAGACTCTCCGAGCTGGATGGCGACTCCGAACCCCCCCAGCTTCACCGGGGCCGAGTTCTCTTTGGACGCCAGCAGCACACAGTGAGGCTGAGGACGAGAGAGGAGAGAGAGAGAGAGAGAGAGTGGTGATTTGTTTTGTGTCTTTTACTAATTAAAGAGCGACACCCTCTTATAAATTAGGGTTAGACACACCCAAACATCACCCGCCACAACCACACACACACAAAACAGCCGCGGCGTGGGAGGATCAGAGAGGCGCAACACGTATGAAAACCACACTTGTTACTACTGGCGGCAGTTTCAGCAGCTTATTGGATGTTAAATAACGTCACTTTATTCTAGTTATTTCATTTAATATCGTATGTTTTGTTTCTAACCGAGATGTTTCTCACTTCACATCATGAAACCAGGAAAAAAAACTCAGTAAAAATACAGAAAAATGCTTCAAGAAAAAAAATCATCAAAATGCAAATTAAATCCTGTCACATGTGGGAGGGAGGGTGAGCTGTTCCAGCATCTCATTATCCTAAAGCATGGATCAGTGTTTACTCTCCTGGGAGCAGTTCACAGTTAAAGTCTCCTCTTCTTTGGGCCCCCCCCCCCCATCACTCATTTCATGCACAACATCTGTGGTAGTTTCTCTTCTCTAACTAAGTACAGTTACTTCAGTACTGTAGTTAAATATATTTTTTGAGTATCTGTTCTTTACTTGAGTTCTGACTTTTACTCCTCTACACATAAAGACAAATATTTTACTTTTGACTCCACTACATTTCTATGAAGAGCTCTTACTTTGAAGGAGCACTTTTCAGAATCAGAGTCTGGTTTATTGCCAAGTAGGTTTTCAACATATTACTGCAGGTCACCTAGCTTTAAAAATAAAAACAAAAAATTAACAGTAAATTAAAAATATTTACGATGAAAATATAAATATATACAATACACTGCATTTTATTTTGTGGAATGAATTTTCTTTTATTTTGAAAATGTGACAGACCATATACTGTGTTGGTTTAATTCCAGATTTAAACAGACAGCTGGTCGTGGTTGGCTCCTGTTGTTGATTCACTTCTGTTTTTATGGCCATTTCTATAGGATTTCTATTCTACAGGTTCTACAGTCAGTCAGTCAGTCAGTCAGTCAGTCAGTTGATTCAGTCATTAGCTGCTTTAAATGTGGAACAATGTGTTGACGTAAAAAATGTACTTTTGAAGTACTCCAGTACTTTAACTCAAGTAAATACTTGACTGAAGAACTTTCACTTGTACTGGAGTCATGTTACTGCACTGTGACTCCAGTAATGGAGCTGTGGTTCATCATTCACTTCAACCTCTGCCTACAAACTCAGCCTGAGAGCTCGACAGCAGCTCACGTCTCCTGGGTGGCAATTTAAATCTGGCTGTGCTTTTATTCTGAAGGCACTGCTTTAATTACTGTGAGGGCACTCTGTGGTATTCTGGGAGGCCTTTTTCTCTCACAGCACATACCTCCATATTATAATCAGAGCCCAAAGTGGAAAGCATATTGTTTGTGTACAAGTGAAGCATACTGTGTGATCCCACAGCTCGCCCTGCCCCATCTCCTCTCTCTATCTGGTGGTGGTGGTGGGGAGGAAAGAGAGGGCTGACCACAGCTTCAGCTTTTCTCTGCACAGCATCACAGCATTCTGCATTTCAGCATTTCTCTCTGACTTTCGACAGCAGCGGCTGGTTTCTCAGAGCAGCACAGATCATGGGCAGAGAGGGAGGCGGACCTCTGCGCAGAGCTGTTTTCATCTGAGACCACCGAAGGAGAGACGACAGCAGGAGTGAACGCACCATGACGAGGGGAGAGGAGCGTTTCAGGACGGCAACACTTCGGAGAGTCGTTCCTGCAGAGTGAACTCGAAGGACGAGTGAGTCAGAGGAGAAGAAGAGGACTGCAAAAACCACGAGTGAGCTACTACTCAGCACATACTGTATTTGTGTGTGTGTGTGTGTGTGTGTGTGTGTGTGTGTGTGTGTGTGTGGGGGGGGGGGTTATCCCTTTACTTCCACATAAAGCAGAATGTGTGAAAGAAACATGAGAAAGTTTCTCATGGACGTCAATGAGTAGGTGAAGCTCTGGCAACTTCCTTTATGAAAGATGATCGGTTTGTTTGTTGCTGCGTCTGCAAGATAAGAGCTGTGTGCTTTTCCTTTTTACTGCACTCACAGATCTTTCGATAGAAACCTCCGTTCAGCTGGTTTACTGCGTTACAAGACTGAAGCAGACAGAAAAACATGTCTGTGCTTCTGCAAACTTCGACATAACTCACACATGATATCACACAGTGAGTGTTAAGTCATCAGGCTTCCCAGTGTCTGTTGGTGCGGTGCAGAGCCGCCGTTATATGTGATTATCCAGGGTGAGGGGCAGATCCACACAGCTGGACCTCAGCTGTCAATATATATGCAATATCTAGGCAATATCCACATCACATCACCTGGACTTGTTGATAAAGGTAAAACGTGTCACAACAGACCATCACAAATGAAGCACCGTTCTACAAATACTTTTCTGCAGACGTACTTTTTTTCTCCAAGTGATGAAATAAAATATTCTCAGTTCACATGATCCGGTTGATATTTATCTACATTTTTAAGAGCGTGAAGATCCGATCGTCACTAAAGCGCCTGTCATGTGGAGAGCTGATAAAAACACATAAAATGGTCAAAGTGTTCATGTTGACATTTAAGATGTATTGACCGATTTCCAAACATCAATCATGCATTGAGTAACACGCGAGGAAACATTCCACCTTAAAAGATGGCGGTAGCTGCCGGTCGCCTCTGAGCTGCTCAGTGAATTAAATGGTTAATTAGTAAAGATGAAAAGACTCTGATGAAACTGTTTCGTAATATAAATATTAATTTAGACATTCAGCACAGTCAGAGCCAGCTGATAAGGTTGATGATGATGAGGCTTATTTGGCTAGCTTGCCTAATAAAAGCTAAAAAATAAATGAGACATTAATATGATGGCTGACTGTTTTTTGTTTGATTAACTTAGAGAACAACCACATGTCTGATCATTTATGGGGTTACATAAAACAAAAACTACTAAAATGATAAACCAGAGACAAATTCCCGGCCCACTTTTTAGCCCCAGTCCGCCCCTGCTGGAACCTGTGCCGTAAGGACCAGGTGAGCTACCGGGGCCATATTTTTAATATTTTTAAATGTAAAAATAACCTGCACCAATGAGTCCAAAACTTTCCCATGTGAAGGAAAAGAACTAACACTACGAGCTAATCCAAACTGATTCTCCTGATTCTTCCTCCTGGTTTCAGGGCTGAGGATCACAGAGACCACCATGACAAAAACCTCCTTCACTACACCTGCCACGTCCACCCTCCAGCCTCCGCACAGCTCCTTTTCCCTCCTCGCCACAAAGATCAGCGACATGAACTTGACCGCGACCCCCGACCCCCAGTGTGCGGAACATAACGCGCTGCAGATCCCGTTCGCGGTGCTCTACTCCGTGATCTTCGTCCTGGGTCTGGTCGGGAACCTGGTCGCTCTGTGGGTCTTCTTCTACATCCACTCCAAGAAGAACTCCGTGCGAGTGTTCCTCATTAACGTGGCGTTTGCAGACTTGCTGCTGGTGGCGTGTCTGCCCTTCAGGATTCTCTACCACAGCCACGGTGACGTGTGGAATCTTAATCCAACCTTGTGTAAAGTGGTGGGGAACGTCTTCTACATGAACATGTACATGAGCATCACGCTGCTGGGGCTGATCAGCGTCGATCGCTACCTGAAGATGCACCGAGGTTCAGGGACGCGGCACAGACTCTGGTCCACCAGGCGGAGCCGCGCCCTCTGCGCTATTGTCTGGATCTTGGCGTCCGCCTTGACTTTGACGTACATGATATCAAAGAATGACAGAGGAGAGCAGAACAGGTCAGTGACCCCTGTCATCAAATCTATTTATTGAGTCTTACTGTTTCAATTAAAGCTCCATGTTTTCTTCTTCTTCTGTGTTTTATTTGAAGTGTTGATCCATCAGAAGATATAAAAACCATCTCAGTGTAGTTTTACATCTCCTCTCTCAGGCTTCTCTCTGGAGCTCTAGTAACAACAGGTCGGTGAGCCAATCAGAAGAGAGGAGGCTCTGAGCCTCTCTTCTGATTGGCTGACTGTTTTCTGACTGATCCAATAAAAATAAAGCAGATTTCAGGTAAAAACACTCAGAGAAACCAAATCCTGCAATGTTTGGATGGTGGGTCCAGGTGGGCGGGGCTTGGTGACTGCTTTGTTGTGACATCACAAAGTTCCAGAAGTCCTGACGGCTGGTTTTAAGGCTCAGTTTCTGAATACAGGCTGTGTGCATTTCTCTGTGGACTGAGGCTTTGATACTTTCACAGTATTAATATAGAAGCTAGACCTGATCTATTAGTGACCTTTACACTGGAGGAGCTTTAAGAATCCTGGCATGTGTGATCTGAGCTTTAATGGGTTTGGTGTTTGCAGGTGTTTCCACTACAGGCAGCTCCTCAATGAGAAGTGGAAAGCCTACATCAACATCTTTCTGCTGGTGCTCTTCTGGCTCGTGTTCATCTCTCTGGTTGTGTCTTACGGAAAGATTGCCCACCGGCTTCTGAGAACATCTCAAGAGAAACCAGACCTGCCCAACACGGTCCGCTACATCCGTACCGCCAAGAAGTCCTTCTTCATCCTCTTCCTCTTCACCGTCTGCTTCGTGCCCTATCACATGGTCCGGGTCTTCTACATAAAGACTCAGATCACAGAGACATCCTGCTACTGGAGGGATGTGGCCGACAAAGCCAACGAGGTGTCTTTGCTGTTTTCCGCCCTCAACAGCTGCCTGGATCCGGTGATGTACTTCCTGTTGTCCTCCTCGGTGAGGAAGGAGGTGCTGCGTTTGATAAGCAACCTGCTGTGTGTGAGAGATCTGGCCGTAGGAAGCGGGAGCAGCTCCACCACTGAGGGGGACGGCAGGACCGGGAAAACCGACAGAGGACAGACGAATCGTGTCTTCACCTCCAATATAAAGGAGACGGAGTCGCCAGGCGTTGGATCCAACCTGGACTGTGAGGGTTCTCTGAA